CTTTAATTTGTCTTTGTCTGGTTATCTTGCCCCCCCCCTCACACTTTTGTTTTCTCTTTTTCTTAGGTAGGATATACATATATATATGATAAAGTTTATTTGAAAGACACGCTTCATCCCCAAAAGCTCGAAGCGCGGTACAAAGTCAACCATATTAAAAAGAGAAATAAAAACTATCTAAAATTTACCACACTTAAAAAACAGACGCAACAATATAAAACTACATTCGAGCATACCAAGTAAAAGTATTTCATCCCGTTTCAACCATCAGCAACACAAACCAAAATACATCAACTGAAAAAGATGGTAGATAGCATCATATTTATGAATTATTGATCCGATGGAAGATGCTATTGTAGGGAGAATGAAATTTGATTTTGTATCGTACAGGCTGACAGGCTCGGAATTTCCCTCCCTCGTAAAGACAAGCGGCAATTTTAATAGGGATTCTTTGATAATGTGTCAGGTTGCTACGATTTACACAGTTATGGTTGTGCATTACCCACTAACAGACTTTTAAAAACTTTTCTCAAAACGACACTTTCGTCATGTTTGTCTCATAAAGGGCTATAAAATAGAAAAATTTAGTCTGATTTTTTTACAGCGGCATTTACCATTTCAACACCAACACAGCTATTTCATGTTCCAACACCAACAGACGAATATATAGAAACAAAATAAAATCACAATTAGACTATACTGTGTGTTTCTACTGAAAACTTCGTTGGGTGGGGTTCATGTTATTGATTTGAGAGTGGGGAAACGCATTAACTCTAAACTTTGCTTTCATGTAGCTGGCCGCAAATTATCGTCTTGCGGGCAGAAAATTGGCCGCGGGCCACGACTTTCAGACCCCTGCTCTTACAGGCTCGTTCCTGACACCATGGGAGAGTAGGCTTTTACATTGGTGTAGAAGGCACAACAGTGAGGGGATGGTCTCTAATAGGTTCGTTAATGGCACCATAGTAGAATAGTCTTTTACAGCGGTGTACAATCCACAGCAGTTTGTAAAGTCTTTCGAAGGGGCATGCATTGCACCACAGGTAGTTTAGTCTGTAAAATGGTTGTACCTGTCACTATTGGGAGGGTAGGCATTAACAGTGCTGTACCGGAAAGAATAAAGATGGTGGTTTGTAACAGGGCTGTACCTGGCACAACTGGGGAGTAGTCTCTACCAGAGCCGTACCTTAACCTTGGGTGGGGGGGGGCAGTCTCTAGAAGCTATTTACCTGACACCACACAGAGAGTATTCCTTAACAGTAGTGCGTCATACACAAAAGGTAATGCAGACTATCGCAGCTTTACCGTACCGTAATAGTGGGGCACAATTGTATTTACAAAAGTCCAATCAATTCTTTCAAGTAATCTAGACAGACACTCTAGGGTAATTTTTTTTTTTTTTGAGTCCAGGCTTAAGTGTTTATGTCTTGTCAAAAAAAAATACATAAAGAAAAGAACGAATTATTTATGCTGTCATTTCAATTGGATGAGGCAAGACAACAGCCATAATTTTATAATGGAATCAACATAGTTAAACCCCAAAACAACTATATCATGTTTTAACACCAACACAACTATATCATGTTCCAATACCAACACAGCTATACCAAGTTCCAACACCAACACAGCTACATCATGTTCCAACACCAACACAGCTATATTATGTTCAAACAACAACACATATATATCATTTCCAAACCAGCACAGCTATATTATGTTCCAACACCAACACAGATATACCATGTTCCAACACCAACACAGCTACATCATGTTCCAACACCAGCACATATATATCATGTTCAAACAACAACACAGCTATACCATGTTCCAACACCAACACAGATACATCATGTTCCAACACCAACACAGCTACATCATGTTCCAACACCAACATAGCTACATCATGTTCCAACACCAACACAGCTACATCATGTTCCAAAACACCAACATAGCTACATCATGTTCCAACTCCAACACAGATATATTATGTTCCAACACCAACACAGCTACATCATGTTTCAACACCAACACAGCTATATCATGTTTCAACACCAACAGAGCTATCCCAGCTTACTTCGGCCTGCTGTTTGTCATTTATTTTAAAAAAAATAATTGACCTCGAAGTCATAAATAAGCCTAAATAAAGCATGGGAAAACCTGCTGGGCTTTTTGTTTGAAAAGATTTGAAGATTTGAAGATCAATTTGAATAAAGTTTGTGTGCATTATCTCTGTTAATTTATTTGATTTACAATATTGCTGTGGCTGAATATGTGTTCGAGTAATTGATCTATCCTAACATATCACACTGCACGTGGCTGTAAATGCGTCCTGGCTGTACGTGTCTTGACTTAGAAAATCGCCCTGTATGTAGCTGTACGTCTGTCCTGAATTAACACATCAACCGCATTGTTCCTATATCTAAATCGCCCCAAATGCCCATCTCCCCCTCTCTCATTGTCCCTCTCTCTCTCTTACTCTATCTCTTAATCTCCATCTCTTTCACACTATCTCTCTCGTACTTTATCTCCTTCTTTCTCTTAAAGGCTGTATCAGTCGCTCATATTCTTTCTCAATCTCTCTCAATCACACTCTCACTACTTGTCTCACTGTCTCATTTTCTCTCAATACTTTCTCTAACACACTAACCATCTCTCTCTTTATATCTCTCATTCTCTCAGTTTCTCAAACTCTCTCTATCAATCTGTCCCATTTTCTCAATCTCTCTCAATTTATTTCATTCTCTCTCAATCTCTCTCCATTACTATCTCTTTAATTTATTTTCTTTTTCTCTAAATCTCTCTCAAACGCCATCTAACTTTCTCTATCACTCTCTAAAACTCCGTCAATCTCGCTACTCTCTTAATCACGTTCTCTCTCACTCTCTCAATCTCTCTCAAGCTTTCACTAACTTTCTCATTTTCTCTCAATTTCTCCCACTTTCTCCTAATATCTCTTTCTCGCTCTCTCCGTTCCCCCTCTCCAGTCAAATCACCCTTCAGTCCGTCTCCCGAGGTACTATCACTCGCTGTCTTACTTTAGATATCTCGCACTCTCTCTCCCTCTCCATCTCACTTATTCTCTCTTAATGCCTCACTTACTATTCGGATTCTATTTCTCCGAAGTAATTTCACTCCACATGCCTCCACTCTCCTCTCCTCCTCTCTCCTCCACTCTCCTCCTCTCTCCTTCAATTCTTCTCTCCTAATTTTCCTCCAGTCTCCTCGACTCTCAACCACTCTTTTTCAGTCTCCTCCAGTCTCCCCCACTCTCCTCCACTCTCTTCCTTTTTCCTCCACTTTCATTTACTCTCCCTCATTCTCCTTCGCTTTTCAAATTTTCCATATTTTTCCTCGAATTTCCTCCACTCTCCTCACCACTCCTCCCAACTCCTAAATTCTCACCTACTCTCCTGTACTCTCCTCCATTCTCCTCCAATTCCCTCCACTCTTCTCTACTTTCCACCTATTTTCCCGACTCTCCTAAAATTACCGCCACTTTCCTTTACTTTCCTCCACTATCCTCCACTTTCCTCCACTCTTTCTACTTTACTCCACTCTCATTCACTTTCCCCCTATTTCTTCCACTCTCCTCAACTCTTCATTATTTTATTCCATCCTCCTCTTCTTTTATCCACTCTCCTTTACTCTCCTCCACGCTTCATCACACTCCACCATTCTCTTCCATTCTCCACCACTCTACTCAAATCTCCAACATACTCCTTTACATTTCTCCAATATTCTCTTCTCTCCTCCACATTTACCCCACTTTTCTCCACCCCCCGTTACTCTACTCAACCCTCCGCTACTCTCCTCGAGTCTCCTCCTTTCTCTTTCTATCTCCTCCACTCTCCTCCCCTTTCCTCCACTCTTCAGCCCTTTTCTTCTACTCTCCTCTACTCCCATTCACTCTCCACAACTCTCCTTTTTTCTCCTCTATATTCCTCCACTGTCTTCTACACGCCTCCACTTCTCTACTCTCCTCCACTCTTCTCAACTCTCCGTCACTCTTATCAACTCTCCTTCATTCTCCTCTTCATTCCACCAATCTTATCAACTCTACTCCACTCTCCAACACTCTCCTGCACTATTTTACCCTCTCCTCCCCACGCCTTTATTTTCCGTCCATTTCCTCCACTCTCAACCACTCTCTTTCCTTTTTCTCCATTTCCCTCAACTTTCCTCCACTCTCCTCTCCTCTACTCCACTCTACTCCACTTTCCTCCACTTTCCTCCACCCTCCTCAACACTTTTCCACTTTTCTCCAAACTCTTTAATCTTCTCCACACTCCTCACGTTCCTTCATTTTTCCACACTTTCCTCCACTCTCCTTCACTTTTCTCCTTTGGACACTATTCTGCTTTGCTCTCCTCCACTCTCGACAACACTCCTCTACTTTCTTCCACTACTCTCGTCCAATTTTCTTTACTCTCTTTCACATCCCCCATTTTCCTCCCGTCAGCCACTGTCCTTCACTCTCCCTGCCTCTCCTTTACTTAACTCTACTCCACTCTACTCCACTTTTCTCCACTCTACGCCTCTCACATTAACTTTCCTTCACTCTCTTCCACTCTCCTTCAATTTCCGTCACTCTCCTTCACTCTCTTCCAATTTCCTCCACTTTCCTTAACTTTCCTCCACTATTCTTCACTTTCCTCCCCTTTCGTCCATTCTCCTCAATTCTTCTCACTTTCCTCCACTCTTCTGCCCTCTCCTCCACTCTCCTACACTTTCCACGACTCTCCTCCTCTTTCCTCCCCTCTCCTCCACTTTCCCTACGTTCATCCATTTTCAAGAGAAGGGCATGAAAAGAGCATGGGATTAGCATGAGATGAGCATGAGAATAACATAAGACGAGCATCAGCTTAGCATGAAGGTAGCATGAGAAGAGCATGAGAAGAGTATGCGATGAACATGAGAAGAGCATAGGATGGCCATGAGATGAGAATTAGGTGAGCATGAGATGGGCATGAGATGAGCAGGATATAGAACTAAGTCAGAAAGAAATTCAATAGAATTTATTATTTTAGTTTTGACAAATTTAACCTAAATTTAAAAATCTGAAATATATATTAACAAGAAAAACGAAACACATTTATCTTAAAGTTTTGTAAAAATTTTATAGAACAAAAAATAATAATAATAAAATGAAAAGAATAATTGAAACAAAACCATCTGATGAAACAGAGTTGTTAATGTTAATTATCTTTCTTGGGTAGTAATCATTTTAAAAAAAAAACAAAAAAAAAAACAATCATTATTAATTTAGCATTTTAACTTTAACTTTTTAGTAGCATCCAAAATGGTGTCCTATTAAATCTTAACATATATATTTTTAAATACATGAATCATTCTAACAATGAAGATATCAAAATTGAAAAAACAGAGAGGCTAACACTATCAGCGTTATGTTTTATGTACATAGAACCGTCCGATGAATCAGACATAACAGCAGCGTCCTTGGTGAGTCTAGCTAGCGCAGTAGTGTCCGTGATAAGTTGCACGATTAGTGTCCGCGGTGAGACTAACAGAGACACCCTTCTACCACACCTTCATAAAACAAAGAACGCTGTGTTTATGGGTGCAGTGGTGCGCAATACTTTTATGTTTTGTACAGTCGTAATGATTCTAATATACATATATATTTTTTTTTTAAATTGAAATAATAGATAGTTTTAATCAAAAGGACGCTTTAGTTTGGAGATTAATTTTTCCTTATTTTGTGACCCTTAAACTGAACTACTTTGCTTGGAATTTTATTTTTATTTTTTTTGGTGGGGAGATGGGGGAGGAGGTGAGACGATAACATGAAAATTCTTCAAAAGCGCGTTTTGCTACTGCTTTCCACTGTTAGAGAGTTGCTTAAACATATTCAGCTTCAGGTTAGGATCTCTTTTTTTTTTCGTTTTGTTAGATCAGTAGTCCCCACCTTGTGCAGAGCGGATGCGTTATCGATATCCAATCCATGGACGTCAGAGATCGTCCATTAGTTGAATTGCGACACGGTACTTACAAGAAAAAACACCGGTCTTAAATTCCATTGGATTAGCACAGTGGGTCCAAACCTGTGGTCCGTGGAACCTTAAGTGATCCGCGTGCACTTTTGAGGCGCTCCGCGGCAGTTTCGGGAAATAAAATCAACACCGATAGCCTCTAAGACATAGTGAAGGCCTAAACGGCAAACCCCTCCTTATACATGTATTCTGAAAAGGGCTACACGAGTCAAAAAGTTTGAGAACCTCCGTATTAGATTATATTTACACCCCATCTTTTATCTTTTTTCTTCTTCTTTGAGGAAAGAATCTTTACCATAACAGCCTTTTAACTACAAAAGCTAACACACCACCGCACAATCAAGTTGTCTTTTTTTATTACTGTAACTAAACCCATCATCTTTACATCACACATCCCAACAGTCTTTCATGTATACACACATCCAACATCTGTAAGCCCATCCCCACCCCCCACACACACACTCCATGCATCCTATGGCCTGTGATCAGAGGTGGGCAACAGCTCTCAGCCCCTTCCGGACAGCAGCTCTCAGCCCCTGCCGGACAGCAGCTCTCAGCCCCTGCCGGACAGCAGCCTGTTGCAGGTGTAGCAGCAGTTGGTCGACACAGCGCTGTTCGTCCGGCACTCGTCGACGCTGAAGAAGTTGAAGAGGCTGGTGCAGTTCAGTCGGCCGTACTGACCTGTGTTGAACACGACCGACCGGTCGCCGTACTGGCAGTCTGAAACATCGAAGCAGGAAGTGGCGTGGGTGGATCAGAGGATTGGGGCAGCAGGGAGTATGACGGCGGAAGGAGATGTATTTTAGCTCAGAGCGTTGGACCGGTGAATAAATGTTCGTCCTAAACTGGCATACGCTTTCTCGTATGTTGATTCTCGTGTCAGTTAATCAATTTATTTTTCCACATATATTTAAAGCGAACATTTATTTCAAAGAAAATAAATAATTGAATATTTGTTTGTTTAATGGTAGTGTTGTTTTTTAATTGTTTTTTTAAAAGATTAAATGGAGAAATTGCGGATGGTGTTGATTTGTTGAGGACGTAGTTGTGTTTAAGGTGAAGACCTGTTTATCCTTAAGCTTTCGCCGTAGTAACCACGTTTTAAGCCTACGATTACGGTGCTACTAAGAGCCTAAAATAAAAAAAATATATATATTTTGGGGAGATTGGTCTCATGTTTGGTTTATTTTAAATTAAAAAAATAAATACTTGTGTTTTCAGGAAAAAAAATTGTACACACTTTTTGTGTTATTACCGTAAACAATCCAATAAGAAAGACATCCTTCAACAAATCAGAGAACCATAACTTATATATTTCTTTACACAAGTAGCTAAGAAGCTGAGTAAATCTTCTGACACAACTTTTATTTTGATTGTAACAACCCCCCCCCCCCCCAACTCCAACCCACCCACCCGAATCCCCAGCACCGATAATTGACCAGACTACTCTTCGGAGCATGAAAATACGTTTTTGGGAGTTGAAAAACTACTCTGACACTAACTTGGGGGTAAACGGGTCATATGATGTTACGCAGTGAGTTGTTAACAAAGTTCGCAGTATAAAAGACTATACAAGTTGGAAACATATTATGTGAGCTTAAAGTCAGAGTCATACGTTTTTAATTAAATTGGATAAAAACATTTTCATCAGCTTGTACATCGGGTTATTTATTTTCAACCTTAGTATTCTGAGCTTTAAATGGTCAACCTCTCAAAGAAAGAAGATTTTATAACGAATTGCTAGTGTCCCTATGACACAGAGCAGAAACGCTTTATTTTTTTAAAAGAATGACCTTGATGGGACACTCGCCCCTATTTCATCTATCAGTTACGCAATTGTCTCAGCTCTCAGTGGAGTCTTACAAACATATCACCGTATGCAAATCTAGGTCAAAATAATTTTTATTTAACAGCACCTGACTCACCTGCCACCCTACTGCACCTACCGCCCGTTGCACCTGCCACCCCACTGAACAAGCCACCCCACTCAACTGCCATCTCAATAACCTGCTATCCCACTCACTTGCCATCCTACTCCCCAGCCGTCTCACTCACCATCCACCAACTCATCTTCCATCCTACTCTCCTGCCACCCCTCACCTGTCTGTCAACCTACTCCCCTGCCACCCCAATCACCTGCCACCCAACTCCTCTGCCATCCCACTCACCTGCCACCCCGCTCACCTGCCACCCTACTCCCCTGCCGTCCCACTCACCATCCACCCTAGTCCCCATTCACCCAACTCACCTGCCACCCAACTCCTCTGCCATCCCACTCACCTGCCACCCCGCTCACCTGCTACCCTACTCCCTTGCCGTCTAACTCACCATCCACCCCAATCACCTGCCACCCTTCTCCCCTGCCACCCTTGTCCCCTGCCACCCCCACTCACCTGCCGGCATATCCTTTGACATCCATTCTCTAATCCTTTCGCAGGACTCGCAGCAGATTCGCCGCCTCTGAGGCGCGTAGCAGTTGAGACGGATGCTGGAGGAGCTCTCGTCATACATCTGACACAGGCTCGGGTTGTAGTCGCCCCAAGCGCAACCTGTTTGGTGAGCGAAAATATGACATGCTCACTCTTGGACAGAACAGTAATCTCTTAGATTCATACTAGACTTTTTGGCTTCTTGGGGTTTGATCCATGCTTAAAAACTGTCAATTCAAATTCACCCCCACACCCCCCCCCCCCCCCCCCCCCAACCCCAAAAAAAAATATGTTTATAATGTTTTATTAAAAAAATCTCAATAAGCATACTTTTAAAAAAGAAAAAATAAGAATAACGATATATATGTGGAATTTTTCCGTTTAGCGAGAATTTAATATAGTAGCAATGTACACTTCATTAAATCACACACGAGGACAATCCTGAAAGGACAATCGCGGCTGCATTTCTCGCAGGAGAACTTTGACTCCAGATTTGGCCTTCCGTATTGTTCTTTTTCTTTTGCAAGGGCTTCGTTTCGTGCATCTTCTGCCTTTTTTTTTTACTCCTTCATTACACTGCTGTTCGCCAGCTGTAACATTGCTCAGCGTTGATCTCCCATTCGTTGAATTCAATGTTGGCTTCCCTCATGCTCCTTTTGCGAACGTCCATACGTCTCAGGCGTGGCCGACCAATAAGTCTTGTCCTTTCTGTCAACTCTCCATGCAGCAGCTCCTTTGGAATACGGCCTTCCTCCGTGCTCCTTTCATCGCCTAACCAGCAAAGGCGCCGCTTGCTAAGAGCTGAGAATATGCTAAACATAGTTGCAAGTTCCAAGACCTTTTTGTCACGCTTCTTGTCCTGCCATCGAATGCATAATATATACGCAGACATCTTTGATGACAATAATAAAAATAGATAATAATATAATAAAAGAAAATAATAATTGCATTATCAAAAATACTAACGAACAAAACATAATAATAACGTTTAAAATAGGTAATAAGAAATCATAACAAACGAGTTGATCACACAATGTTTTAACACAATACAATTCTGAGGAGATAACATGGGCGTGTCTCTCCCCCTTCCCCCCCCCTCACATCCACCCGGACGGGTCCAACAGCGTCTTCCCCTCCCCGTGTTTACTCACTTAAATTGCTGGTGTTCTTAATCTGATTGCACGTGTCGCAGCAGAGCCGCTGGTTGTCAGGTATGTAGCAGAGGCCAGGGTTCTGGCGCACGTTCTCACAACGGGAGGTCATGTCCCCGTACTCGCACCCTGCAGGGGCGCCTGAAACAGAAGGAGAGGGGTGAGAGGTGGGGGGATGGGGGTTTGCAATTAGGATTTGTTTTAAATATTCCTATATATAGTATCAACCGACTAAACAGTTTCCCGGCAAGGGGTTTGGGGGGGGGGGATGCGAGCCCCATGCTAGAGGAACGCTGGATGCTGCCAGATAGGCACGCATGCTGTTATATAATATATATAATTTTACCTATTACAAATATTTTAGCTAGTATAAATTATATATTTTCAAAAATTATATAATAGCATGTATTTTTAGAGACCACTGGGTGAGAAAGATATTTGGACAGGAGGGGGAAGAGAAAGCTATTTAGAGAAAAACAATAATAAAGAATATTCAGAGGTTTAAAGAAAAAAAAAACCATTTCTATAAGGATATTTTTGAAATGTAAATGTTGAACTGTCAAACAAAATGAGTTGGACACGCAACTGCAGTCGATCACGTGATTATAGCTACGCTACAACGTTTGGACGGAAAGGAAATGCTGTGATCTCACTCTGTCTCTCAGTCTAAGTAACACAGTTACTGGCCCTCCTAAACATCATATTCATAACTTACTGGCCCTCCTAAACATCTTATCCATAACTTACTGGCTCTCCTAAACATCATATCCATAACTTACTGGCCTACCTAAACATCATATCCATAACTTACTGGCCCTCCTAAACATCTTATCCATAACATATCGGCCCTCCTAAACATCATATCCATAACTTACTGGCCCTCCTAAACATCATATCCATAACTTACTAGCCCTCCTAAACATCATATCCATAACTTACTGGCCCTCCTAAACATCTTATCCATAACTTACTTGCCCTCCTAAACATCTTATCCGGAACTTACCGGGCCTCCTAAACTTCTCACAGGTGTCACAGCACGAGTGTCTATTCCTCAAGTCGTAGCAGTCAGCTGGTGTAATCGTGGAACATAACTCTGTATGGTCTCCATATTCACATCCTAAAATTAAAAAAAAAATAAACATATAGAACACTTTGTATTTATGCTAATCATTTTTATTTCCGTACTTAATATTTTCTGGTGTAAAAAAAAAACCTGAACTCTTGGAGAAATAAAGCAAGAACTGGACAGAAAGACCCCCATCACCACAAATAATAATATTTGTTTTAAACTGGTTCAAGGAAACTGTATTCAAAAATATTTTTTTCTCTACCGCTACTACAAATTTTTATTTGTTTTCTAACAAAATCTATACGTCATAAAAGTTTCCCCCAAATGAATACGTCCCATCCAATGTTCCCTTTAAGTTTTGCTTGTTCGTGTCCAAAATCATACAGCTGTGTGAAAATTGTTACAGCCCACAAACACACACACGAAAATTTATTGCGCAGATCCTCAAAACTGCTGCGTCTGTGAGATAGCTGTGCGGCCGCGCATCCGCGCAGCTTAAAGGGAACATGGCTCACATCCTGCACGACAACATTAAACCCGTCATCAAGAAATAATATCATGGATGACGACATCAAATCCAGCTTTTAAAAAAAAAAACGAGTGTTGTCGAGGTTCAAGACAATTTTTTTCATTTTTTTGGTCCTTCAAAACAGTAAGATTTGAAACTCGTTACAGCTGAGTATTCTTCGACTCCAGGGTTAAGCCAGGGGTGGTCCAGCTGCTCTATTCCGCTAGCAGGGCGTTTGAGAAAAGAAAAAGAACACACAAAAAGACAAGACGTGTTTTCATAAGACAGCTGTCTGCATCGCGTCGTCATGACGTCAGTTTGTTGAAGGGAACGATAAAAAAAAAAGTTACCCAAAGGGAAGGAACTCTGCTCAAATAAATACTGGTTAGATGTGTGTAAGTTAATTTTTTAAATTGACAAGTTGTCTCCCTGCAACCACCAACCCCATCCCCCTTTTTTTTTCTTCTTCCCTCCCCTCCTTTCCACTGGATTTCGGATAACGTAGACGACGTAGTCATGGTGATAATAGCGTGGTTCAAAGCCAAAGACAGAAGGTAGCTTGTTGTGGTTGAATGATCGAATGCGCGCCTGCCATCGATGGTGGTGCCAGGATTCGATTTCAAGGTGGTGTGAGGGTTTGATAGTATGATAGTGTGATGGTGTTAGGATGGTATAATGATGTGAGGATGGTATAATGGTATGATGGTGTGATGGTATGATGGTATAATGGTATGACGGTATGATGGTGTGAGGATGGTATAATGGTGTGATGGTGTGATGGTATGATGATATGAAGTTTTAGGACGGTATGATGGTGTGATAGTATGATGGTATGATGTTGTGATGGTTTGATGGTGTGAGGATGGTATGATGGTGTGATGGTATGACGGTGTGATGGTATGAGGGTGTGATGGTGTGATGGTATGATAATATTATGGTATGATGGTGTGATGGTATGATAACATGATGGTATGAGGGTGTGATGGTATGATGGTGTGATAGTGTGATGGTATGATATTATGATGGTATGAGGGTGTGATGGTATGATGGTGTGATGGTATGATAATATGATGGTATGAGGGTTTGATGATATGATGGTGTGATGGTTTGATAATATGATGGTATGAGGGTGTGATGGTATGATGGTGTGATGGTGTGATGGTATGATAATAAGATGGTATGAGGGTGTGATGGTATGATGGTGTGATGGTATGATAATAAGATGGTATGAGGGTGTGATGGTATGATGGTGTGATGGTATGATAATATGATGGTATGAGGGTGTGATTATTTGATGGTGTGATTGTGTGATGGTATGATAATATGATGGTATGATAGGTTACGTGCGTCATGATGAGAGTGTCGCACAGTTTATCGAATGTTGGACCACATCCTCGTTTGACTGCAAAGTTTCCATGCCGTATGATTGATTAAAAGACGGCTGGCAAGATTGATGTTTTTTGTTTTTGTTTTTTTTTTGGTTGGGGGGGGGGGGTACGCATGCGTAGCCATCACATGCGGTTTTCGTAAGCGGTGTCGGATACTGGAGGTCGTGCATTTTTTTTTGCTTTAAAACAAACGAACAATATTGTCCACCTTACCAACTCGAGACGGTTGCTTTCTCGGCAGACACACCTCACAGCACTGTCGGGACGTGAACTCGTGCGAGTAGCACAGGTACGCGCCATAGCTGCGGACGGCGCTCTGACAGTCCAGGCCGTTGATCCTGATGTCCAGCCCTGTCTCCGGGCACTCCTGCGGAAAGTTCATCGAAATAGAAATAATGGCCACATTACTGTGTGACGAACGGTCGTTCGCAAATTACGTCACGCTAGGGGTGGAGGTTGGGGGACGGGGGTCGAGGAGGTGTGACCGGTTGTGACAGGCGGTGAAAACGGGTGGGGGGGGGGGTTAAAAATTTGTGAGTCACATTTTTTTTAAATTTAATTTTTTTTCTAATTTTGAAAAATTTTTATTCAATTAATTTTTTAAAAAACAACATTAGTTTGAGGGTTCGAAATCGAAACCTTCTGGAGATAACGAAAAATGACGCAAAAACTGTTGTACCCATTTGACATTCGGCTCTGGGAGGACTTCGTTGTCTCACGTTTTACGTCACAGTTTTCTAATAATACGCCATCTCAATCCATCGTGGGGACAATGTTAAAGAATAACATAAAATCTTAGTTCAGTTATGAACATTGTATTTTTATGTTTTGAATTTTATTTAGGTGTGACATGACACTAGGGGGGTAAAACACTTGTGACACTTCTGAAAAAGTCATTTTTTTTCGGGAATTAATTTTAAAAAAACCACCCCCCCCCCCCCCCCAATTTGTTTTTTAACTGTGGCGTTACTTTGAAAGTAGTGCCGGTTTGGCTGCTAACAAATGAATAAGTTTCGACTTAGCTTTCTATAAGAACTTTGTTCCGTTAAATGAGAAATTTTTCATCTAGAAAATAATAAAGTATCGTGTTGCTAACATTAGACATTAGAAAATTCTTCTCTTTTTCTATTTTTTTTCTTTTTTTAAAACTTTTAAAATCTGATAGTTTCGAGAGTGGGAAGTAGAAATGCGTATTACTTTTGTAATCTTTCATTTTCTGTAATCTAGGTTTTTGAAAATGTACCTTCCGGCAATAACAATACCGACCTCTTAAGCCTTTAACACGTTTATATGTCTTGTCGTATTTTCATGTGTCCTGTCTGCTGGGGAATGCTCTTTGCCGAAACGTTATTCTCTTACTGTCCTATCTGCCGAGGAAGGCACTTGGCCGAAACGTTATTCTCTTACTGTCCTGTCTGCCGAAGGCTCTTAGCCGAAACGTTATTCTCTTACTGTCCTGTCTGACGAAGGCTCTTAGCCGAAACCTTATTCTTTTACCGTCCTGTCTTTCGTTTCAAAGCTTCCACATACCATGTTCTATTATCTCCTTTTAATAACATATAGGCAAGCTATGAGAAATTGGTAGGAGCAAAATCACTGCAAAGCAAAACTGGACCTGAAGCTGATGTGACGAAACGCATGTTTAAACACTAAATTAAATTTCATCAAACGGCGGATGCCATTTTTGTAAACTTCGACTTACTGAAGAGCCCAATTGGTCAATGTCAGGGAAGACGCTCCATTCGTTGCCCGCGCCCAATTGCCCTTGAACTTGACCATCCGTCTCGTACCGCGTCCTGAAGCCAGGGTAAGATCCCCGATTCGTGGACACTGTCCTGGTGCCGCCCGGCTGCTGGTAGGACTGATTCGAACCCGGCCGTGGATTGGGATACACCTGGGACCCCTGCTGGTAGGTGGACGACGTGCTGTAGCGAGTCTGTTGGGGATAGCCTGGAATGTAAACGGATTGACCTGGGTTCCTGGGGCCTTGGTAGTTAGAGTACCAAGGAAGCTGCTGGCCGTAGCCACCACCGCCGCCGCTCTGCTGTGAGGATGACCTGGACCCATTGTCCTGGCTCGAAGGACGCCCCTGTGCGATCGGGAGCGCCCCGGTCACGGCTGCCGGGTTGTATCCGGATCTGACTCCAGTGCTGACGTCAGGGCGTTGGGGGGGACCTCTGTCGCTCCCCGAGTAGGGGGCCGGGGTTAATGGGGTCACTGAGGACGTTGCGTACTGCTGCTGACGGGCCCTCTGCTGCGCGTAATAGCGTCTACGCCTCTCCTCATCTTGTCTACGTCTTTCCTCCTCCGAACCTTGGCCTGCGGCCCCTTTGTTCTCCTCTTGCTGTCTTCGCCTCTGCTGCTCAATTTCTTCGATTCTCCTCCTCCTCTCCTCCTCTTGCCTTCGCCTTTCCTCCTCCAAACCTTGTCCCGCGGCCCCTTCATTCTCCTCTTCCTGTCTTCTCCTCTGCTGCTCAATTTCTTCCAGTCTCCTCCGTCTCTCCTCATGTTGTCTACGCCTTTCCTCATCCGACACTTGCCCGGCGCCCCCTTCGCCACCCTCTTGCTGTCTTCGCCTCTGGCTCTGCTTCTCAATTTCTTCGATTCTCCTCCGCCGTTCCTCTTCAGCCGCTTGCCTCCGTCTTATCTCCTCCTCTCTCTGCTTTTTCCACTGCTCGTCCTCCTCTTTCTGTTTCAGCTCGTCCTCCTCAATCTGCCTCCGCCTCTGCTCCTCCATCTCCTGCCGTCTCCTCAGCGCCTCCTCCCTCTGCCTGAGCCGTATTGCCCTCTCCTCTAGCCTCCTCTTCATTTCTTCCTCTCTGCTGAGAGCCTGCTGGTCAGAGGGGACGTCCTCCCTCCTCGTGTGGGCGCTGGGCGCACCCTGCCTGGCGCTGTCCCTCCTTTCAACCGGTGACCCCCGCTGCGACCCACCCGCACCTCCTCGTCGCTCGGCCTGTGACCTCTCGCGCGATTGGTCATCCCCACCGTCACCGACACGTCTGTCATCTCTCTGCCCGCCCCTCTCACTAGGCCCAAGGCGACCGCTTCTGTCGTCAGGGCTTCCAGTGGCGTCGTCCGATGTCTGCGTCCTGTTCCGCTGGGGTGGCGTGTCATAGACGTATTGCGTGCGCTCACGGCCGAAGGGGTAGAAATACGTTTGGCTTGTCCTCACAGTACCTGCATCAAAAATAAGAAAAGTGTAAAAAAAAAAATAATAATAATCCAATAACAAGAAACACACACACACAAACAACAACAAAATATATTGACATAGGTATACACTGGTGGCTATGGAATCACGCCAGTATAGACACGGGCTTCAGTCCTGCCTACACACCTTCAAACGTACATGCACCTGTTACACGTTATTTATGCTTTAAAGCCGCATTTTTCTTTTTTTTATTTTTTCTTTTAGCAAACTTCTCTGCAACTAAGAAAATTGAAGCTAACACGGGGAGGGTGGAAGAAAAAGCGATTGGGCGGGGGGGGGAGCAATTAAAGAACTCATTGCGGAATTGAAGTGGTAATTGCTACGTAAACTTGACTCAGGACGTACGCAATGTACACAGGTGTACAGCCTAAGGGTTTTGGGGTGTAATTGAGGGGGGGGGGGTGGAAATTGGGATACCACGCAAGCTGAGACAATAGAAACGAATGAGTGGTGTGTTTCCACCACCCCCCCCCAACCATTCAAATATTTGTACAACAGTGTACACAAACGGTGTATTTTGTCCCTGTTTGTAATGTTGGGAATTGAGCGGAAATCCATTCATTTACATAACATTTGCCGCCATGTTGACAGGACCACCCTTGCTGGAGAACTTCACGAGGTATAAAAACTGAAGAAAAAAAAACAATCAGGTGAAAGGTTGAATTGTTTCGTTATCAGATGGTGAGTTCCTCATCATCTCTAGTGATTTTGACTTTTTGTCTGAGACGTGTTTGACTACAATACCGTGTTCCTGCAATACAATTTAGCCCACAATTGAGTTTTTGTTGTTGTTGTTGTTGTTTTTTTTTGTGGTCATCATATGACAAAATAGCTATAACCCGACACACAATGGCAGCGGCCATGCGTGAACTTCCCATCTGGTAAATTATTAAACTGGATAACATATGTAATCTAAATAAATAAATGAGTAACCCTATTAATGCAAACCCCCCTTCTCCCCCCCACCCCGCTTTTTTCCCCCCTCTGGTACGCCACCGCACACCTTTTTACGTCCCTGAACTGTGACACGGTAGTTCAATAACACACCCACCTTTACAATGCACATTTATAACACCATGCATATTTGGAAGTGAGACCTGCCTCCGAAAATCAAAAGAAAATTGTGTGCACTATGCTCACTAGCGGTAATGTTTAGGCATCTCTTCTGTGCGCAGAAATCGGGAATTTCATGGAGCTTTCTGTTTAACTCACCATTATGTATTTATTTAGGCATTTTATATAGCGCTTACCTTAAAGCTCTAAGCGCTTTACAATTATTAAAAGCATGTAAACTAGCTACAATAAAAAAATGAGACATTAGGATAGTAACTACTATACTATAGAAACAATTTAAATTACAACCATACTTGCTTTCATTGCGTAGAGGATTGCACAGATTTGTGTGATTTAATTTAAAACTCAACCTACAGGTGTACTTGTTGTTGGTGCTTTTATGGATTAAGGGTAAGAGAATGACTTTGTACATGGTTTGATTTAACGGATGAGGGCGAAGGCCACCGTATTAAGAGGTCGTGTGTCAGTCTTCCAGCTCAATGGTTCTCGACCTTCCTAATGCCTGCCATATTGTGGCAATCCCCAAACACAAACCTATTTTCGTTGCTACCTCATAACTGTAGAGTATATGTGTTTCCCGATGGTCTTAGTCGACCCCTGTGTAAGGGTGGTTCGACTCCCAAAGGGGTCATGACCCAGAAGTTGAGAACTGCTGTTCTAGCTCATAAATGGTGAAATAAGTGTCAGGACGGCAGCAGGCGTAATTGAAAAAGAGTCGTTACCGATGAAAAAACATTATATCAAAATATTCAGCTATGAGGGTAGAAAAGACTAGAAGACTGATTAATTGTAATGTTAGGTGACCATCAGTGCAGTTGAGAATTTTAGGATTTATAAGGTACTTATGTCTTTATAATTGGACTCGAAATCTTTATTGGCCACTCGATTGTTTTAAGAACCACTGTCTCACCCTACGCACAATGACACAATGACGTCAGGCAGCAGAGATTAGTTTTTTTGCGTTAGAGTTGTTTTGCGTCCTATAACAAATCTGCTGTTGACCGGTGCAAGTGATACTGTTAGCGCTGGTTCGTCGCAGACGATCAGTGAACCATAAAACCTATTGTAACCGGTAAAGTGAAACAATTTTGAAATGCAACAAAATAACAAATGACCCAAAACAATTTATTTTATTTTTTTTTTTTTTTAAACCACGGTGCCTGCATCAATTTGAATAATTCCTACCGGGTCCTTATGACTGAAAGGTTTAAAAAGCACCGATCTAGAGACTAATTGGAGACACACCAATTGTAACCGGTAAAGTGAAACAATTTTGAAATGCAATAAAATAACAAATGACCCAAAACAATTTATTTTATTTTTTTTTTTTTTTTAAACCACGGTGCCTGCATCAATTTGAATAATTCCTACCGGGTCCTTATGACTGAAAGGTTTAAGAAGCACCGATCTAGAGACTAATTGGAGTCACACCCAGTGGTGAAGATCCAGACGCGGAAATTTACCTGTGGTCGATGCACTACTAGCCGAAGAAGGCCTGCCTCGCGACGAGGACCTGTCGGGCGAAGGTCGGTAACCAGAGCCGGCATCAGATGCAAGTCCCTGTTGATGTCGTGCGTCCGTGGGATGGCTGTACACGTAAGCACTCTGAGCGGAACTCGGCGGACTGCTGATGTCCGGGAAGTTCTGGTTGTTTCTGTTCAGTATTCGGACCTGGACGTAAACAACAAGATATGTTGAAATATGGTGGTAGGTCGAGGCATGATGAAATGTGGTGAAGGGTCAAGGCATGTTGAAATATGGTGGTGGGTCAAGAATAAATAGATTTAAAAATATAAAGATAATCTTAGAGTTCCCATTTGCATTTGTCAAATTAAAATATAATTTCATTTGATAAATTCCCCAAACGCCTGGAAAATACAATGAAGAAAAAATGTGCCAGTTTGATCACTACCTATCATATGAACCCATCGTATGGACCCATCATAATAACCCATCATATTAACCCATCATATTGACCCATCATATTGACCCATCATATTGACCAATCATATTGACCCATCATATTGACCCTTCATATTGACCCATCATATTGACCCATCATATTGACCCATCAAATGGACTTATAATATTGACCCATCACATGGACCCATCATAATAACTCATCATATTGACCCATCATATTGACCCATCATATTAACCCATCATATTGACCTATCATATTGACCCATCATATTGACCCATCATATTGACCCATCATATTGACCCATCACATGGACCCATCATAATAGCCCATCATATTAACCCATCATGTTGACCCATCATATTGACTCATCATATTGACCCATCATATTGACTCATCATATTGACCATCATATTGACCCATCATGTTGACCCATCATGTTGACACATCATATTGACCCATCATGTTGACCCATCATATTGACCCATCATATTGACCCATCATGTTGACCCATCATGTTGACCAATCATATTGGCCCATCATGTTGACCCATCATATTGACTTACCATACTAACGTATCATATGGACCTATCATATTGACCAATCATATTGAGACATCATATTAACCCATCATATTAACCTATCATATGGACCTATTATATGGACCAATTAAATAGACCCATGATATGGACCCATCATATTGACTTACCATATTAACGTATCATATGGACCTATCATATTGACCCATCACATGGACCCATCATATGGGCCTATCATTTTGACCCATCATATTGACCCATCATATTGACCCATCATATGGACCTATCCGTTTGACCCATCATATTGACCCATTATATGGACCTATCATTTTGACCCATCATATTGACCCATCATATTGACCCATCATATTGACCCATTATGTTGACCCAACATATTGACTTACAATATTAACGTATTATATGGACCTATCATATTGACCAATCATAATGACCTATCACAAAGACATGATTGCGCCTCTTCAAATCAGGTTGATAACCGCTTTAATTAAAAAAGAAATACATCAGCGATGACTAACCCTTGGATTTCATGATGTACAACAAAGGTTCTTAGACCGCGCAGGCACGGGTCAATTAAAATGTTTTATATCCAGTGGCCATGTGCTCCATGTTTTGTTTGGAGTTCCCGTCATCCCATTAAACATGGCTGAAGAGAGTTGAACTCTTCAGAGGAATGTTATCAGTTAGTATGGTCTGACCTCGGACCGCCAGGGAAAGGAACATTGATTTAGAGAGAGGGTATGCTCAACTAATGCGACGTAATCGTGGTGTGTGTGTGTGTGTGTGTATTTGTGTTGGGTGTGGGGGGTGGGTAGATACCAAAGTTACAGATACATTCTATACAGCTCTTTGGAATTGATTCCCGGAAGCAGCGATAACTCTGATGTTTTGTTTGTGATGAAGTCATAGCCAGACCACAGGACATCGTGTCACATAAATAGTCTTCACAGACAAGACCACAAAAAAATTGTCGTTACATGTCACAGCGATAAGACAAAGTGACGTCACATGTCATTTCATATGCCCATCATAGATACGACCAATGTTAATTGCCCCAAAGAGTTGGGATGACCAAAAGGTGATAGACCGACAAGTTTTCAGTAAATTGGTAGACCGTGTGCTTTGTAGACCGGCAAAGTGTCAGTGCGTTGGTAGACCGGCAAATTGTCAGTGCGTTGGTAGAACGGAAAAATGTCAGTGCGTTGGTAGACCGGCAAAATGTCAGAGCGTTGGTAGACCGGAAAAATGTCAGTGCGTTGGTAGACCAGAACAATGTCAGTGCGTTAGTAGACCGGCTAGATGTCAATGCGTTGGTAGACCGGCAAATTGTCAGTGCGTTAATAGACCAGAAAAGTGTGAGTGCGTTGGTAGACCGGCAAAGTGTCTGCGTTGGTAGACCAGCAAAGTGTCAGTACTTTGGTAGACCGGAAAATGTCAGTGCGTTGGTAGACCGGCAATGTGTCGGTGCGTTGGCAGACCGGCAAAGTGCCAGTGCATTGGTAAACTGGCAAAGTGTAAGTGCTTTGGTAAACCGGCAAAGTGTCGGTGCAAAGTCTGGGAATGTGCAAGCCATGACGCCCGTGATAACTCCTTCCATCTATGGCAAATTAAGTAAATGTCTTTCTTGACGTTTTTTTTCACTCTTCATAACTACACACGTGAATTGCCAGACATTACTTTCTTTGGTGTGTCACCTCATAAAAACTACACACGTGTATTGCCAGACGTAACTTACTTTGGTGTGTCACCTCATCAAAACTACACACGTGTATTGCCAGACTTAACTTACTTTGGTGTGTTACCTCATCAAAACTACACACGTGTATTTTTCAAGGTGCTACTTACCTTGGCAGTGGCTTGCCTCTTCATCAAACGATGCAGCGGCCGGAGCTTTCCTGTGTAGAGAAAAGATAACATGCTCTGGTTTTTTCTTGATGGCGGGTCAAAGGTCGAGGCGTGCTCAAAAAAAGCGAGAAAGTCATGCATGACAGAATACAGCAGCGTCACCCCAACATACGAGAGGGGATGGAAAGAAGATACAAAAAAGGTTGAAGAAGACTAAAGGAAGACCTAGAGATGGACAGAAAACAAAATATATACCAGAACAGAAGGAGACAATACATGGACTTCATTTTTGGAGTTATGCCATTTTTTAAAACTTTTGAAATTGTTTTTTTGACGATTGGCCAACCTAAGGTAACATATAAGTGGTCGACTCTTAAGATATATTTACAAATATTAGTTCAATACTACCATGCTTATTATATGTAACTCTTCATGTAGGTTTTTTTAAAAACACAGGACACGCAAACAGTAAACATGAATGCTAAGTGAGGATATACAAATTAAGATCAGCTCTAGTAGAGACTTGATTTAATATTTATATTATATGTTTATTTAAAATTAATTTATAAATTCATTTAAACATTAATTTATATATTTATTTATACATTTGTTTATATATTCCACCATGCATGGACCATGGCAAGGTAAACCTATGGCATCTGGTCAGCATAATTAATAATTTGGACGATTCTATTTTTAACATCACATCAGACCGATACACCTACACCAGCACATCTGGTGCACCATTTTCCTCCGTTGCATTATCGGTCGCTAGACGATTTATAGACGGCTTATAGACTGATTATAGACGGCTTATAGGCTGCTTACAGACAGCTCATAGACGTTTTTTTTTTTTAAAATTCCAAATAACTAGTAAACAGTCAATTATTGATTTTAATAATATAGTTAAATTTTGTAAATTTGAATATCAGAAATTGTAACAAAATTACGAATTATTTAAAAAAAAACAACACACAAATGAAAATTATTGTTACATAACATTGCTATTTATCACCCCCACCCCTGAGCAATAAAACAGAACGGCAAACAACCCCCCCCCCCCTTTTTTTCGCGTTATATAAAGTATGCTCGGTTGCTAAGATGATATATCTTTTTATCAAACGTTTTTTTAATGCTCACTCTATCACCAAGGATTTTGTTCGGAACAAAGATGGTTGTATCGCTTCCGTTTTAACACATGGTGTTTTAAACCAGTGCAGACGTGTGAGCTAAATTTAAAAAAAAAAAAAAAAATCTTAACTTTTTACTTATACAAAAAAAAAAAAATAAAATTTAAAACAAAGAAAAAGGAAAAAAAAAAAAAAAAAGAACAATTGAAACTAAATAGATTTTCGAAATTGTAAAACCGATTTTCGCCAGAATATGACATGTTTTTAAAAAAAATTATAATTTAAAAAAAATATCCATTCTAAGCAGTTAATCAAATCAAAGGCTGTTATAACTGGGCTGTTGTTAATTTTTTTATTATTTTTTTTTTTTTTAAAGTTTGGTCTTTTTAAAAAGCAAACATATTCCAAACAATATTTCAAATAAAAATTATGACAACATTTTAACTTTAAGTTGGGTGACTGCATAAAATATGCTAAATCAGTGGCGTAGCTAAGGTTGGTGTCACCCGATGCGGTAAACTTATAGTGTCACCCCCCAACCCCACACCTCCCCCCCCCCCNNNNCCCCCCCCCCCACTGACTTTCACGATGGATTTTTTAATTGTTAAAATAAGTCCACCGTATGAAATGGCAAGAACACAAAAAAAAAAATAATAAAAAATAAATAATAATTGACCGTCTGGAGATAAATGTATATAAGAACTCTAAAATGTACTTAGACTCGCCCGACCAAATCGTATTTATTGGTATCAACAGAAAGCTTTATTTCTCAAAATTTAGACAAATATTTTAGCCTTTCGTCACTTACAGAAGTTACCGAACATTTCAATCGGCGTTGAATTATGGTCAAATGGTGTTTTTTTTTTCTTCTAACATAATTATGTGGTCACATCATTTCTTACGCCTCAACCTTGAACTTTTTATAAAGCACGCATTTTGAATTGGTGACACGTGTGTCAAATTGACGTGTGATTGGTTATCCTTTCATGAAAATCGGTTAGACCAAACCCTTGTGGGCCCTGTAAAAATGCAATTTTGCAATTTGGTGTCAACCCCTGAGATGATGTCACCCTGTGCGGTCCGCAACCCCCGCTACCCCAGCTACGCCACTGTGCTAACTGTCTATCTATCCAAATTTATATTAGTTAGAAACAAATCGGAAGGATTTCAAAATCGCCCCTCCCCCCCACCCCACCCCCCCACAAAGAGCAACCATTAAAAATATATATATATATTTTTTAAAATAATAACTTAAAAAAAATAAATTATGACATAATTGATTTTCCCTATATAACATATATTATATTTCCAGCAGATGGTCTAATTATTCGTTATGACAAAGTCTGTACCTTTACTACTATCTGTCGCCTCCATCATCACACACACTACCAACACCAGCGCTAAACACATCAGAGTCCTCATCTTGAAATCCGGAATGTCCTTTTCCAAAAAAAATATCTCATCAACATCTGATACACAACACTCATTAAAAAAATACTTTCCTCGGGATGAACTGGACAGCAGGTAATCAATGTTCAATGGTTCAGCGTAACAAAACTACCAATGCAATCTATTCAGTTTAGAACACACAAGAATATATATATTTCAGTACATCCATTCACCAGTAGATCAAGAAAACAGCCCCAAAAAATTCCTCCTATCACTAACGCTAACTAAAAATCGGCTCAGCTCACACACGAAAACCATTTAAGCCACATACACACACAAAAAGAAAAACAAAACTGTTGAGTTCCTGAGTTTAATTTTGATGGTTTGACTAGGCGCGTTCTTACAACGTCATGCTACGCTCTGTCCGACGGGTACCATGCGTTGCCGCGGCGAGTAGGTGTAACAGCGACATGTGCACTCAGTTGCTGCATTGGAGATCTTCCACCCACGCCCCCGCACCCCAGCGCCCCCCCCTCTCCTGGCTTACTAACTTATTATTTATTTGACAGATTGAGAGAGAGAGAGAGAGAGAGAGACAGACAGACAGACAGATAAAGAGAGAGATAGATGGATAGAGAAAAATAGAGTAAGATAGAGATATAGATTGACAAAGGGATGAGAGAGATAGAGAGAGATACCCAGTTTGATAGAGAGAGATGTGAAGAGAGATATAGATGTAGAGGTAGAGGAATTGTGAGAGAGACTGAAAGAAATAGAGAGATATATGGATAGGTAAAGAGATAGCTAGTTAGATAGAGATATATAAAAAGAGATAGAGAGATGGAGTGATATAGAGTGATAGAGAGAGATATCTTGTTAGATAGAGAGATAGAGAGAGATAGAGAGAGATAGAAGGAGTGATAGAAATAGAGTGATTATAGAGAGATAGAGAGAGATATATATGTAGATTGAGCTAGCTAAAGAGAGATAGAGAGAAATATAGTAAGATGGCTAGTTAGATATAGAGATAGAGGGAGATATAGGTATAGAGAGATATAGAGAGATATAGTTATATAGCTAGAGACAGATAATGAGAGATGCAGTGAGATACAGAGAGAAATAAACATTATATATATATACTAAATAGAGAGAGATGGAGAGAGAGAGATAGGAAGAGAAATATATATATATATATATAGAGAGAGAGAAAGAGAGAGAGTGACAGAAAGAGAAAGAGACAGAAAGAGAGAGAGAGAGAGAGAGAGAGGGGGGGTAGAGGAAATTTCCTTTACGATGTTTCCCTTTGCCTTCCTTCCTTAACTTATAGTTGTTGTTGATTTTTGGTTTTTCTTTTGGTTATTTTTTGTTTTTTTGTTTTTTTGCAGCCTTTTTTTTTACAATTTCAACCTTTTCTGATATTTTAACACTCTTTTTTTCCTTTTTCCTCCCCCCCCCCCCCCCATATCTAAACAGCAATTAGTCCATTTGCGCACGAAGACGCGTCAAAAGCCTTGCCTGAGAAAACGAACGCAAAAAACAAAACAATTTACTTTTTGTTTTTTTTTTTTTTTGGTTTTTTTTTTTGTTTTTTTTTTTTTTTTTTTTTTTTTTGTGTCTTTTTTTTTTCAATTTTAACCTTTTTTTGTTTTTTTACCCTTTTTTTTTCCTTTTTCCCCCCCCCCCCCCCCCCATATCTAAACAGCAATTAGTCCATTTGCGCACGAAGACGCGTCAAAAGCCTTGCCTGAGAAAACGAACGCAAAAAACAAAACAAAAAAAACTGTTATACATCTAAGACTTCAGTTAAGTGTAGTGGTGATCACTCAAAGATATACAAATGTGCATACGCCCAAACACACACTAATTCATTCACACCCATACACTCACACACACATACACACCACTTTGCCATGAAATATTTTCCGTCCAAACCTCTGACTGCAGCGCCAACCGCCGCTACCCCTCATTTCCACCCTTAACAAAATCTTCGCATTTGGCAATGGTTGTTGGGGTGGTTGCTATTTTAGAACAAGTTCATTTTGCCCTGCAACTTGACGTCACAGCGACTAAACAAGGGGACTCAGATTTTCTGTAAGATTTAAAGTAAGATGTAAAGTCAGGTTGAATTTAGATTTGCATTCAGGTTTGAAGTCGCATTTTGGATTGGGTTTCGTAGTCTTATGAGAAGGCAGATTTGGATTTAGATGTGTAATCTTATGAGAAGGCAGATTTGGATTTAGATGTGTATTCTTATGAGAAGGCAGATTTGGAATCAGATGTGTAGTCTTATGAGAAGGCAGATTTGGATTTAGATGTGTAATCTTATGAGAAGGCAGATTTGGATTTATATGTGTAGTCTTATGAGAAGGCAGGTTTGGATTTAGATGTGTAGTCTTATGAGAAGGCAGGTTTGGATTTAGATGTGCAGTCTTATGAGAAGGCAGATTTGGATTTAAATTTACAGTCAGATTTACGTCAGGTTTACAATCCGAATCATGTTTTTTAACGCAATCTGGGATGGTATACACACAAAACAAGGAATGTTTTGAATTTTTAGAATATTCCTTTAAAAGAAAAGACAAACCAGCGAATCGACTTAAAACCAATTCATCTCTGTTAAGTCATGTGTCTGTATCTTTTATTCACACGTAAACAAAATCACACCCAGTCACGCACAGCACTGATGTGTGCCATAGTCAAAACTTAAACCGTTGACTATAGTTGCCGGGTGCCAGGGCTGTTTAACTGATATGATGATACTGACCGAATGCATAATGTCAATGCTATGCTCACAGCGCTCTGGACATGTCTTTAAAGAAGAAAAAAAAAGTTAGGGAACAAGCAATTTTGTTGTATCGAGGTTGAACACTGTCGCAACCTGGATCCTATACAAAAAAGTGACTATAGATAAAATAAGAATGTGTGTCGTGTAGATGAAACAGGAATGATTTTGGTATAGACAAAACAGGAATGTGTGTCGTACAGATAAAATAGGAATGTGTGTCGTACAGATAAAATAGGAATGGGTGTCTAGAGATAAAATAGGAATGTGTGTCGTACAGATAAAATATGAATGGGTGTCTACAGATAAAATATGAATGTGTGTCGTATAGATAAAATATGAGTGTGTGTCCTATAGATAAAATATGAATGTGTGTCGTAAAGATAAAATACGAATGAGTGTCTACAGATAAAGTATGAATGTGTGTCCTATAGATAAAATAGGAATCTGTGTCGTATAGATGAAATAGGAATGTGTTTCGTACAGATAAAATATGAATGATGTCTACAGATAAAATATGAATGAATGTCTATAGATAAAATAGGAATTTGTGTCTATAAATAAAATAGAAATGTGTGTCGTAAAGATACAATATGAATGTGTGTCGTATAGATAAAATATGAATGGGTGTCTACAGATAAAATATGAATATGTGCCATATTGATTAAAAAAGGAATGTGTGTTGTACAGATAAAATAGGAATGTGTGTCGTACAAACAAAATGGGAATTCGGGTTGAATTCATGATGCAAAAGTGAGAACATGTTTCTTGAAATGTTGTACTGGCTGTAAGGTCCTTGAAATAATGTACTGACCCTAAGGTCTTTGAAATAGTGTACTCAACCTAAGCTCCTTGAAATACTGTACTGGCACTAAGGTCCTTGAAATAATGTAATGGCCTTAAGGTCCTTTGAAATAATGTAATGGCCTTAAGGTCCTTGAAATAATGTAATGGCCTTAAGGTCCTTGAAATAATGTAATGGCCTTAAGGTCCTTGAAATAATGTAATGGTCCTTGAAATAATGTAATGGCCTTAAGGTCCTTGAAATAGTCTTTTGACCGGTAAGTCCTTGAAATAGTTTATTGATTCTAAGGTCCTTAACATACTGAACTGGCCCCAAGGTTCCTGAAATAGTGTACTAGCCCTAAGTTCCTTGAAATAGTGTACTGTCCTTAAGCTCCTCTTAATAATGTACTGGCCCTAAGATCCTTGAAATAATGTACTGGCCCTAAGATCCTTGAAATAATGTACTGGCCCTAGGATCCTATTAGCGTTCCTTTAGAGTAGATAGTCGTTCGAAAGCTGTCTCTTCCTCTACACCCTTTCTCATTGCGCTCACTCTCTCTCTCTCTCTCTCTCTCTCTCTCTCTCTCTCTCTCTCTCTCTCTCTCTCTCTCTC